ATGTGAGGTCTTGGTTTCAACATGACTTTGCCATCTCTTGTGTGATTTTAGTCAAGTATTGAGCCCTCTGAGCTTTTGTTTCCTTATTGGAAAATGGGGATAACAGCGACTGCTTAAGCCTATCCTGAAGAATTATGAAACTAAAATCACGTTGAGTATAAATGGCTTCAGTTAATTCTTCTGCACAACAGAATTGGTATTAAGGCTTAATATATTTATTATTGTCATTACATGAATAATAAGTAAAAAGTTGTGTGCTTAAAAGATAATTGTTTCTCTTTTGACTTCAAAGGGTCAATTAAAGACTTCAAGAAATCAGATGCATCTCTTCTTTTTATCATTAAAAATATGTTCTCGTTATATTTGCAGGAAAAGAAATAAAAACACCACCAAATATGCTCACCCTGAATATGGGCACCATGGGCACCATGGGACCATTTCCAATAGAAGATACTTCTGGCAGACTTCTCAGCCTTTGGTACAGTGAATGCTACTGCTTTCCCCATTTCTCCATTCTCAATCATAGAGTTGCCAATACTAAAGATTGTATATTGAGAATTGAGGTTTCAACACCTTCGTCATGATAAGCATGTGATTACAGATTTATGCATCTTCACCTTGGTTCTATTCCTCTTGTTCAGCTACAACTTACTAAGCTTCTTTTAAGGAAGAAAGGTTTGGGAAGAGAGGAGGTGGAGGTATGGAGAGTCAGGCTAATAAAAATATCATTAGCCATTTCTGATTTATAAAATCACAGTAAGGACTTTACTTCATTTAATAGCATGGAGGGGAACCAGCTTTTTTTTTTTTATTTTGCCATTCACCCAAAAAAACAGTTGAGCTGAGTTTTAAAATTTACACTTATCAAAATATGTCACATGCGTAAAAGGCTGTGGAGGCCAACTACATAGAACTAGGCTCCTGTCTCTTTCCCAGCAATCTTACCACACACAGACACCTATAAAAGGCAATCCACTAGATCTAAGGTACTTTTAGCTCAGAAACATGATTTTCATATGCACACTTTGTCCATAATACAACTTGTATTCAAACAGAAAGAGGAAAAATGAAAAGGAAGGAGTGTGCTGAGTTCTGAGAGAAATATTAGCTTAGCATGATGTTCTCTAGCTGTCTCATTTATTTCTTTTTCTTCTTCCCTCTTGTTTTCTGCTACTTAAAAAAGAAGAGGCACAAAAGAAAATTTAACAAAAATGGCAGATAAATGCTGGATAAGTGTCTGGTGATTACTAATTAATTTTCTTCATAAAACATCCCAAAAATAAAATCATCACATATGTTGGCATAAATTAGAGATAAGCTAAATTATAGTAACTTTGATTAAACAGTTGTCTAACATTTATGCACATTACAGTAGCCTGCAATAACTTTTAAAATTGTTGCAGAGTTGTGCCCTTCCATTTCCTCACTTCTCTTGAATGTTAAAGGCTCAGAAAACTGGTTTCTGTCTGTGCCAATCCAAGAAAAATGTTCATCCACTAACTACTCTGATCACTCCCTCCTTTCTGAAACTCTAATGCTGGCTTCCATCACAACGGCCTCTCTTGGTTTTCTTTCAACCTAACTCACCACTAACATCTGTTGTGGCTTCCTCTGCTCATCCTATAAATGTATCCTCCTCAAGAATTCTATCCTGAGTCTATTTTTGTTATCATTCTAGGTGATCACACCCACTCAATAATCACCTTGCTTACGAAGCCCAATCCTCGATGGTCATGCTATCCACTTATCCACTTACCCATTCAAATCTTTTCCCATATTTATATTCTCTATCCTAGTGATGAACACCACCACTCCCCAGCCACACAAACCTGAAATCTGGACACCTATGCATCACCTCTATGTTTATTTGGTCACCAAGTAATTTCTCTTCTATGTTACTGTTACCCCTTAAATATGTCCTCTCTTCAGCACTATCCCTCTGTCCTTAGAACAAGACCTCCTCATTTCTCTAACAATCTGCCATAACAATTTTACAAGTAGCCTCCTGCCTCCAAGTCTGATCTGTTTCCATTGAGTCCTTCCCACCTGCTGCCAGTGTAAACTTTCTTAAGTCTTTAAACATCTGCTCCCCAAGGATTCAGGATGAAGCCCAAGTTCCTCAGCCATGATGCTGAGGTGTGGGAGCTTCTGTATAACAGCATCTGCTTTCTCACCCCAGGATAAAGTGGGGTTATCATCAGAGTAAGGAGGAAGCAGAAGAGAAAGACTGTGGAGGTTTGAGAGGAGAACAGAGGAACAAAAATCTCAGAAACTGAGAAAACGGAATTTGCAAGGACAATCTTATAGAGGTGCTGAGTAGAAATGAGTTCTAACAGCAGGTCTGTGGTCAGAACTTCAAAGGGATACCAGTTAAGGCGTTAAGGACCCTCCCACCTTCAAAAAACAGTTGAGCTACTCTGACACAAATATGGAGGAAGCAAAGAGATGGGCTTAATGAGGGTTGTCGGGTTTTGTCAGGTGAGCAAGACAGTGTGTACAACATGCTAGGCACTGTTCTAGGTATAGGGATAGCCAGGAACCAAACAAGGCTGCTTTCTTAATGGAGCCTTACATTGTTGAGGGGCAAATAAATAATACAACTGCAGAAAGCAGTAAGTGTTATAAAGAATATAATGCTGGGTGGAGTTCATAACATTATTCAAGAACATTATTTATTAGTGTTAATATTATTAATTGAGCACTTCAATTCTCCCAAAGATGGTACATAGCTTGCACCGTTACAAAAAATGAATGCCTTGCAGAGGGAGGACTCAATTCTCTAAATCTGCCTCTTTTAGAGCAGGGGTGAGGACATTCCCAAGGAAGAGATGTTTAAGCAGAGACCACAAAATCTTGGCTTGAGAAAAACTGGCAAGACAGGGAATAACAAAATGGGTGAATCAGTGGATCGTAGGGCTCGATAAAATCCAAAGACTTTTAGTGTGTGTTCCATAGGCCACACAATAGTTGAATTATGAGGATAAGAGATGTTTCTATTATGTTGTGAGAGCTAATGCAATAAAAATGTTTGGCCAGTACTGGGCATAGTCTCTTGAATTGCTGGAGAGAGATTTTAGATTTTGAAATGTGGCACATTTCAAAAAAAAAACTTTGATGGAATTAAAAGAAGACTTTGATGGGATATATAAAAACATACCTATGTAAGGTAATCTGAGCACAGAGGCTAATGTAAGAATACCATTTTATTATTGAGGAAAGCCTAATTATAAGCAAAGATTTGGCATATATTATTTGTGCTAAGGTGGAATGCATTTTTCAGAGTATAAATTTAATTGCAGAATTTAGTCCTGATAACTAGAAGGATTGTGGGACCAAAAAAAAAAAAAAATTGGCTACATTCATAAATCTTTATCTTAAGAAAAACATTTTGAAATCCATTGTTTTTACTATATGTCACTAAATATAGGCTCATAAGCACTCATGTTTAAAGCTGGACCCTTTTCTTCCACATTTTGACGTATTTGATCTATATAAGATGTTCCAAAGAATTTGCTATTGTCACTGTCTGTCTTCTGGATAATGTACATTTTCTTATTCACTGCTATAACTCAGTACCCAGAAGAATGTCTGAACAGATAGGAGGTATTCAATTTTTTTTTGCAGTGAACATGTAATCACAGAACAGACTGAATAGGAGCAGAGATGAAATAAAAAGGTAACCAAAAGTGCTAGAAGACGAGCCGTGAAGAAAGACTTATTCTTTCTTTACTGAGTTAATGAATTAAGGACTCCTTTATCCCATAATCAAAAAGAATATCTCATCCTTTACCTATATAGTTCTCTAAAATTGCATTTTCTTGATCCTAAAGCCCCACTGAATGAAGAAAGGAAGACTCATTTTTATTCATCATTAAGAATGTAATGAGCTTACAGCGTCCTCTAATATGTAACCAACTACAAGACTCTGATTTTATCCCAAGGACTATTTAGGGATTACTAAGTAGATTTTCCACTCGAAGTCATGTGGACCTGAGAATTTAGAAATGACAATCACTTTGATTTATGAATCTGACCAAAGTTCTGTTTCAATCTTCATGATTCTCTTAAGTGATTAAATAGTATTTTCCCATCTGAAAAAAAAGCTATGTTTAACATTTAATCAAATTCCGCTATGACTCATTCATTGTAAATCATCATTAATGACACTTGAACCATCTATGAAAACTGTAGCCTAATAAACAGAGGATGGAGCCAGTCTTCAGAGTGCTACTTGGCCTCAGTCTCAAGCCATGTCAGCCTCTAGGAGAATTCCTGACAGCAAGAACTTTCTCAGAGCATGGCATGACACAAATCTGATCTTCAGAGGAGATGTAACATTCCAAAACAAAAATGTTTTGAGTAGCGAATGCTTTGATATAATTGTAAGTTTCAATTATTTAAAATAGCAAAATGTTTTTAATAGATATTACTCCTTCAAATTTTTTTTGGTTTAATATTTTCTGAAATTTTTCATCCCTGCTTATGTCATGGGAGGGGTCAATAAGATAATATTTATTAAGTTTTTAAGTTTTCTGGAAAAAAAGGTATTAAATATCTAGAGGTATTCATACATCCTACAAAAAATAGAATGTAATGTTTTGAAGATCTGGAAAATATCAATATATGTCATTTTTTGGCCCAGTGTTTTGACAAACTAAATAAATACCCAGTTGAACTGAAGTCATAAGCATAGTTAAAACTTAGAAGAATATCAAATTTTCACTCACAAAAAGCATAAAATTTTAATATCTTTATAAATAGGTGCTATTTTAACCTAGTGCATTTACTGTCATTAAAAAACAGTAATAACAAGAATTATCAATAGAATATTTACCAAATTGCTAGTCTCTCACAGCTGTGTGACTCATGATTAAACATTATTGATTTTTCTGTAATACCAAAATAATCCCCTTTAAACCAATGCATATTTTAAAAAATGTCTTCTACCTACCTTTCTGCTGCAAAAGAAGGGAAATGCAACAAGTCTCTTTAGAATTTACCTTGAATAATAAATTGTTCCATGTTTTCTTTGAAAGGCTGGATGTGCTCTTTTGAGGATACCTGGTATACTTTCCCCGCCTCAACTTCACAGGCTGAAATCAGAGAAAGACCCTGTTTAGAGTGTCACCGTGTTAATGGAGCATTAAAACAATTAAAAAAATATATTAGCTAATGTTAAAAATCCATTAGCCACGCTAATTCATATACATTCTATACATATTTTGGAGACATCCAAATACTGACATCCGAGGCCTATGATCAAAGCTTCACTTTGGGGGGTACTGTAAAAAGTTCTTAAGAATCTACAATCCAAGTTTGGTCACCGCCAAACTGTGCAAATTTAGGAAGGTCCTGTAAACGCTGAGCCTCAGTCTCATCTGTGTAGAATGGGCACAACCCTGGTGTCTACCTCTCAGGGCTGTCATGAGGATCAAATCAGTTAATAGATACAAAGTGTTCAAATAGTGCCTGGCAGACAGTAAAACAATATGTCAGTATTTCCTATCATCATCATCCTTGTTATTATCAACTGACTTTTTTTTTTTT